ACGTCGACAGCGGCCAACTGACTACCGGTGCCTGAGCCGGCTACATCGGCTACACCTGAGGCGACACCTGCACACCGGCGGCTACAGGCTCTCTACCTCTTCTCGGGAAGAGAAAGGCTAGGCAGCTTCCAAAGCCACCTCCGCCGGCTAGTTTCTTCCTTCGGGCTCGACATCGATATCTCTTGTGTGGATCTGGCGAGAAGTCCGCCCATTGACCTGGCTACTTCCAAGGAGAGGGCGAAGTACCTTCACAAAGTTCAATCGGGCCACTACGACATCGTGGCTATGTCTCCCCCTGTGGCGACGTTCTCTAGGGCGAGCTCGGCTAACCGTAAAGGTCCCCGGCCAGTCCGAAGCTTCGACGAGCCCAGAGGATTGGCTACACTCACGGCCAAGGAAAGAGACCGGGCTATTCTTGGCAACATTTTTGCTGATTTTTCTTTTGAAATAGCTAGTGCTGCGGTTTCCTCGGCTACCTTCTTCGTCCTGGAGCAGCCAGAAGACCTGGGGGCTATGCCGGCTGGCCCCCACAAAGGCCGGCGACCGGCCAGCATGTGGCAATGGGAGGCTCATGCACGGCTAGTTGGCCTCGGGCTACGTTCGGTGGCCCTGCACCTGGATAACTTCGGGGCACCCTCGGCGAAACCGACACGACTGCTACTGAAGACACCTCTGGAAATGCCGGCTACCGTGCACGAAGGCCTCCCCACCTTCGACAACAATGGCTACTACCTGGGCCCCTTGCCGAAAGCGGCTACTTCATCGACGCCGCAGAGCCCCATGCTGGCTAAGGAGACGCTTGGCGAGTGGCCCTCGAACTTCTGCCGATGGCTAGCACAGTTGGCCCTGGCAACCTGCACGGCTACTGCTCCGACTGCCTCCGGAGAGGGGGTACCGACTGTGCAGGATAAGGCGAGTTCTGGCGACCTCGACTATGTTACAAACCAACCAGAGGGCCCACGGCTACATGGTGGCACGGGACCCCCCCGCCGATGCCATCAAAACGACGGGATAAAGGAATTCCACGACGGTGGCGGGCTATGCTCTCCTGGGCGCTGGCCCCGACACTCTCGTGGACATGCCGCGGGCGAGTCCTGGGACTGGCTGAGGGCTAAGATCCGGGAGATGGTAACCAGGCGAGTGGGATCCGAGAACGAGCTAGAAAAGGAGGCCTTCCGAATGGCTATGGGAGGCGAGTCGGCCTGCAAGCTCGTCCGGGATAGCCAACTACACGAAGAGCTACTGCAACTCCTGCAAGTTTGGATAGAAGGTCAGGACCTCAGCGAACCTGGCCTACTGGATATTCCTCCTGGGCAGCCCCTTCGTCTACGGCTACTTCGTGCGATCCTCGAGGCGGCTGGCGACCCGGATAGGGACTTCCTCCGTCGGGCCGAGGAGGGACTCCCACTTGGGATATTGGAGGGGCTACCCAGAACACCGCACGTGTTCGAGGAGCAATCCTCTTGGAGGCTAGACAACGCCCCTTGGGAGCCGGCGCTAGCATGGGTTCCGAATTATTCCTCGGTTAGCGACCACAGGGATTTTGTGCGGGCTAAGTTCGACGAGGACGTCGAGGAAGGCCTCATGGAGAGGATGACCCTCGGCGAGTTCAAGGCGAGGTTCGGCGAGGACCGGGCTATCGCCTCCCTGGCCGTGATAGTCGAGGACGAGGAGAAGGACAAGAAGCGGATAATCCACGACGCGACCCACGGCGTCCGGGTTAACCACCGGATACGCTGTCGGGATAAGATCCGGGCGCCGGGGGCTAGAGAAAAGAAGCAAATCCTCCGAGAGCTGATACGCTGTGGCGAGATTGCCTTTTCGGTCGTGGGGGATATCTCGAAGGCCCACCGGAGATACAAACACCAGGCTAGCGAGCACGGCTTCATGGGCTGCCAGATAGACACCGAGGAGACGATCCCCGGGGACCCGGATAGCCAGATCGTCTACGTCAACAAAGTGGGCACTTTCGGACTTTCGCCGGCTAGCTACTGGTGGACCCGGATAGCCGCATGTGGGCTACGGGCAACCCATCATCTGTTGGGCCCCGGCTATCCCATCGACCTCCTGCTATATGCCGATGACCTCGAGGCCCTGGGGATAGGAACCGAGGGGAGGAAGGGTATCCCGAGCTACCTTTTCCTCTCTGTTCTGGGATATCCTTTCAAGTGGGCGAAGACTCGTGGTGGCTATAGGGTGGAGTGGCTGGGAATGGAGACAGAGTACTCCTCCTACAGGCTAGGGATGTCCAAGAAGCGGGCGTCCTGGCTATCGGCGTGGCTAAACGACAAGGTGACCCTCGGCAAGGTCACGGCCAAGGAGATGCAGCAGGGGCTAGGTCGGCTAGGCTTTGCTGCGATAGCCTTGGACTGGCAGAGGCCCTTCTTAGGGCCGCTCCACGCGTGGAGCGCAGCCATTCAAGGGAAGTCCGGCTACCTCATCATCCCGACGATGCTCCGGGTGCTGATGCGGTGGCTAGCCGACAAGCTTGACCAAGGAGAGAGGCTACAGCGTCCAGTGACTCTCTACGCCGGGCTACCCCCACTGAGCTTTTTCACGGATGCCAAAGCTGAGTCCGATAGGGCCTGGATAGGGGGCTTCCTGGAGATTTCCGGAGGGAAGCCGGGTCCCTGGTTTTCCCTAGAAGTGGATAGGGCCTGGGCTCCGTGGGCCTTTGCCAAAGGCGACCCCAAGAAAGTGATAGCTGCGCTAGAACTGCTAGCGACCCTCGTGGGGATACGTCTCTGGGTCCCCGAGGGCGAGGATAGGAAGACCTCGCGAGTGGCCATCCGCGGCTATACGGATAACAAGTCCAATGAGGCACTTGTGAAGAAGGCTATGACGACCAAGTATCCCTCCATGCTAGTTTTAATGGAGATAGCAGAAGAGCTATCCCAGAAAAACTGTGAGCTACAGCTCCAGTGGATACGGAGAGACATCAACCAGCTAGCGGATGACCTTACAAACGAGGAGTTCAAGGAATTCGATCCCTCTCAGAGGATAGATCTGAAAGGAGAGGAATTCCAGTGGCGTGTTCTTGGCCGGCTACTCGCGCATGCAGATAGCTTCTACCAGGAGCTAGGCACGCGAAAGCGAGGGACCCCGGATAGGGTGTCCAAGTTTAGCCGTAAGGCCAGAAAGCTAGATCCCTGGTAGCCTGAGTGGCGATGCGTGGGGATAGATAGCCGAAGGCTATCAGTTATCTCCAGGCAACCTGGGATAGTTGCCACTCCAGACAAAAGAACGTCCGTGCTAGCTGTGTTGCTTGTCCGTCTGGTCGTCGCTCGGCTAGCTCGCTAGCTATCTACTTTCGCACTACTATCGTCCTGGTGGAGTTCCGGGGATGGTGGTGGGATATAGGAGCTAGTGCACGTACCTCGTGACGAGGAACGAGTTACGACTATGTGTGCTAGCTTACCTATTACTACTCGAAGCTATCGAAGGTAGCTTCGCTAGAAACGAAGTTTCGTTCGCTATCGTCGCTCGCAGGAGAGTTGCCTCTGACATGCGAAGACAGGATAGCAGTGACTTGGAATGGCTACGACGGTGTGTGACCGTGGCCATTCTGGATAAAGTCCCCCATCAGGGGGGGTAATTTTGAAGTACCCACCCTGCCCACCCTGGGGATAGATAGCCGAAGGCTATCAGTTATCTCCAGGCAACCTGGGATAGTTGCCACTCCAGACAAAAGAACGTCCGTGCTAGCTGTGTTGCTTGTCCGTCTGGTCGTTGCTCGGCTAGCTCGCTAGCTATCTACTTTCGCACTACTATCGTCCTGGTGGAGTTCCGGGGATGGTGGTGGGATATAGGAGCTAGTGCACTCTTGGATTCGGATTGAAACTGGATTGAAGGATTGAATTTCAATCCGGGCCCGGATCCAAGATCCAAGATCCAAGATACCGCCCAGAGAGTCCTGGGGGAATCTTGGATCTTGGATCCGGGCGCGGATTGAAGTTCAACCCTTGAATCCAGTTTCAATCCAGGCCACAGTGCTGCCAAAGTTTAACGGACCTTGTGTATGCGTCTCTGCTAAGTGTTGGGGTATTCACGTGGGAAGACAGACATACAAACGACATGAAGAACAAACGAGCAGGGATTGCACGCGCACGAAGAGCTCCAGACAGAGCCAAAAAGGGATTGCACGCGCGCGCGGAGCTCCGGACAGAGCCGAGGAGGGATTGCACGCGCACGAGGAGCTCCAGGCAGACCAAAAAGCGTGGATCTTTGGGGGGGGACAACATATATATATATATATATACATATATATATATATATATATGTATAAACGGGGCTGCCCGTAACAGTAAACGCTGGAGTTTCTTTCAGGCCATCGAGTCAAGCTCTGCAGGGGTATGCAAACTCCAAAGACTGACGTTAATCTCCTCCATCTGGTGACATGTACTTGGCATAAATGACACTTGTTCTATTCCAGCAAATGATGCTTATCGTTTCCAGCAAATCACGCTTATCGCACCGTGTGGAATCCATGGAAGGATGGCGTAATTGCCAAGAGGCGGCACTTATTCATAGCCAACAAACGACACTTATCCACGATATGAATGCTATGGAATTGCCAAGACATGACACTTAATTGATCTGAATCTTAATTGTAGTCATTACATGACATTGACCAATGCATGTCGGACGCACGAGCTGGTATCATCCAGGCTAAGAAATATCCTTACATATGCCCCGTATTGCCATTGATGCTTCGAATTCTCGTGCAACCGTGCGAGGTGCGCAACCAGGCACTAACACTAGCCCAACACAGGAAGCGACATCAATCGTAGCCGTATCAACGCCGCCGACTCTACGGTTCGTTTTTGCGGTGCAGGTGCAGCTCGCCATCAGTCCATCATCATCATCATCAGCTTCAAATAAACTCCTCGACCAGCTTGGCATTGGGCATGATCCTTGACCTTCCCCGTGATCGTGTTAGCTTCGAGAAGTTGTCTGTGTCCGTACCATTGCGCAGCATCAGCGGTCGCCTGGCTGTGTGCATGACTGACTTTAGCAACCATGTCACTGGGACGATCCGCCCGCAGAGCTTGTGGCCCAAGACCTGGCAGAGCCCACGACACTTGCTCAACTCCCGGAAACATGTGTGCCTAAGCCTGAGTGGAACTTGGACATCCGCCCGCGGACACCTTCGAGGCGATTCCTCCGGCTCGACGTGGCCTACAACCACCCCCCGGAAAGCTCCGACCGCCCGGAGTATGTCCGCTATCGTACGGTAAGTTGCAAGAGGCAGGCTGCGCTGGAGCGAGCGCAAGACGGCCTGGAAGAGCGCGCTACTCAAATTCGGGCGGCCCCGTCGAACAGCAACACGCCCCGGCCTTCTACCCGGACCTCCCTGGCGGCTAGCGAGCAGTGCCCCAGAGCTGGAGCTGGACCGATAGAAGCTGTTGCAATCTGACGTGCGACTGGACCGAGGGCGCTTGCGTGGAGTTGGGAATCTATGCGCCAGCCGGCCGCCGCAAACAATGGACGTCTTGACGACCTTCCAAGAGAAGCACCTCCGCATCCTCCGCAAGGCTGGCTTGGCAGACCCGCCGCGGCACGTCAAATCGTCTTCATGACGAGCTTTGTTGAAGGATGGAGAGCTACGGCGGCTCCGGTCACAGGTCCTCAACGTCTCCTAATTCGACAGGACGGCAACCTGGGCAACAACGTGCAATGCCTCATTGGCGAGCAGATCTCCCAGGGAAGGGCAGTGGTTGCGCTATGTCGCAAGGAACCACTCAAGTTCGGGATCTACGAGACTTTTGTCACCTAGCGCGCTCCCGTGACGGACTTCAAATCCTTGGACAAGATGGCCGAAATGTTGCACAGGTCCGATTCGGGTCCGATGGTATGTTGACCTGGCGGGCCTGGCGGGCCGGATTAAGGTAAGCACCTCGTTGCCTCAAGGAGATGCGTGGTCTTTGGTGGCGATAGTCTTCTGCCTGACGGGCCCCAGCCTCCAGGTTCAGAGTAAGTTCCCCACGTCCCTCCTCAAAACTTTCGTTGTCGACCGGACGGTCGTGGCAAGTACTGCGAGGGAAGGTGTGCTCATTAAGGAAGAACGGGCGGCATGGTCTGCCAAATTGGGGATGGAAGAGAACCAGGGTAAGATTCGGTACTTCCGTGCAAGTGCTCAGGGTCGTCGAAATCTCGAAGATGCAGGTGCTGAACCGGAGCTCATCTGCCAAGATCCCTGTGTGCTGCGAGTCCACTTGCGTGGTAGACAGTTGCGTGCAAATACGCCTTAAGAAGAACAACGGCTGGCCAACGGCTGTAAGCTCATTAGGCGTTGTGCAATGCTTCCTGTGTCTTGGCACTGGAAAAAACGGGTTGTATCTACCCAACGCTTGGCTAAAGCAACTTGGGGATGGGTGTGCAGACTCCCTCCCAAGGTGGATAGGGAAAGGATCAATGTGGCTGTGCCTGTTGCCCTACGTGAAGGTAAGAACGCCAGTGTCCCCTTGAGGGCGACACTGCGCGGGCACAGCCTCGACTTTGGTTTTAGGGTGTTGTCAGTCACAGCTGGTCCGCTGCACAAAACCAAGCGTGGAAGAGACAGGGAGAGCCTTGTCGCTGGGCGCGAAAAGGGTGGCCCCAAGTCCTTCAGGCTGCGACCTTGGTTGGATCTTGCGTGGTCCTTGGTCGTGGGCGCACGAGCGTTTGGGTTTTGCTGTCAATTTGGGTGTGGCTGTGAGCCACCAGAAGTTTAGTTTAGGTTAATGCAGGACCAGATACGCGAGTCATGGAGGCATGCTAAGTTCACAGCTTTCATGACTGAGGACAGACGTGAGGCTGCTGTGTAGAGCTGGGTTTGTGAGATATGACGAGGGTGTTGTTGCTAGGGCGAGGCGGTTTTGTACTACCTTCCAACGCTTCCAGGTTTTGAGTGGTGCCACTCTTAGCCCGGCTGCACGAAACCGCTGGGATGGCCCTGACCCGGGTATGTGTAGTACCTGCTACTATGGAGCGCCTGCTGTGGCACTGTACTCGGCTTGATGAGCGCCCTGCCGTGGGACCTCTTTCAGTCCCGCCTTGGCTGGCCTATGGGTAATGTTCATGACACTGCTATTTTGGAATGGCGTGTTAGGGTTAGAGCCATGATCCTCTCGGATCGGTACTCTTGGTTTGGGTTCTCTCTGGTTTAGGGTTGCCCCTCTTGTAGGTGTGCAATACAGGGTTCACTCTGCGGAGTGCGAAAGACGCCCCCACACAGGTCGTCATTCCGAGAAGCAACATCATCATCGGCAAGAAGATCGGCGACTTTTTTCGATTGCGCCTCGAGAAGATCCAGTGCGCGCAGAAGCCGGTCCAGAGGAGGATGCCACCTGACATCCCGTCCCCCAAACGGCCCGAGCCGCCTTCCTCATGTGCGCGGACGGGAGCCGAGCGGTAGAAGTCGACGACTTGAATGTGGTGAGTGCAACAAGCAAAGCAACGTTTTGCCAAGGCAGTGAGACGCTATTTTGGCGTATGGGCACCTTATTGCAGACGATGTCATGGTCCTGCCCAAAGTGCTCCTCCTGAAGTTCCCGTGGCCGGCCTGCCAACCGAGGTCACCTTTCCGGGCCTGGCACCTACGGTGCCCCTTGAAGTTGCGCGTGCGCACGTCAATTTGGGTCACGCCTTAAAAAGCTCGTTCGACTGGCAGTGCAAACGGGCTACCCTAGGGGCCCTAGCGACCTCCCTCAAGGCCGTATTCGGCAGGATTTCCCAATCGCCAGGAGGTCTCCTTAGTGATGATTTTGCCCTCGCGAGGGGGGCTTTGCTCCGAAAAACTCGGAATGTGAGAGTGGCCGACCTCCAGCCACCGTGGTGCTGGCCTATACTCTGACGCGAGCTGGCCAACGCTGAGCAGCGCTGCCGTTCGCAGTGGGTGTGCACGTCGCAGCAGATGAGGCCTGCGGTCACTACGTCAACATGTTTTTTGGCGAGAGTTTCTATGACGTTCCTGCCTCTGCATCGGATGTCGCATGCACAACATATAGATTACCGATGCGAAAAGCTTGTGCGACGTGGTGGTCAGTGATTCGCCAAGCTTAAGGCCATCCAGGAGGCTGTGTCAGCTGAGTGGTTCCACTGGATCCCAACTTCCTTGATGTGGGCTGACGTCCTTATCAAGTATAGTTTGGATCTTCAGCGCAGTATGCACGACTGGCCACGGAATTCCACTTTGAAGCAGTAGCCAGGCAGGACGCTTGCAATCCAACAACAAAACCATTTCAGTGAGAAATTTGACCTTACGGTAGGCATGGTAACAGATAGTTCAATTTTCCCTCATGCACAGTTACATACAGGAATCCAGTGTTTCACCACAGGTCAAGCATGGCCCAACAGTGGAGCTCCGGAGTAGAAAAGAATCCGAAGCTCGCGCCGTGGTTATAAGAAGTATACTGGTGTAAGGGTTTAAACTTTCACGGTAGCGGAGCTGTTGGCAAAGGCCAGCAGCTGAACAAGCCAGGATCCAGGGAGATCGAGCAAATTATCAAAGGAAAACGAGAAGTTACGGTTTAACCAAGAGCATCTTGCTAAGGTTGGAAAGAAAGAAGAAGCGAGGAGTTACGGCAAAGCCAAGAGCACCTTGCAGTGGTGAAAGAAAGCGTGGAATTGAAAGACCTTGAGCCAGTTACACACAGACCTGCCAAAGTGTTGGAAAGATGGAGCAACAAGCACAGCAACCTCAGCAACCTCAGCAGCCCGTGAATCCTCAGCAGGGGCAGCAAGCGAGGTTCGAGCAGCTGATGAACAATTTAGGTCAAGCTACAGAAGCTATGGCAAGGGTTGCGCAGGGCACTGCGAACCAGCAAGCACAGTTGGCTAACGCCATGAATGAGCTAGCAAGAGCCCAAGCAGCACCAACGGCGGGCCCAGCAGGGGACCGACCGGCCTCAGTAAGCTTTGATACAGGAAGAAAGATTCTCAAGCCACCAGAAGTGTTCAACCCAGCAACAATTGAAGAAGAAGTGTCGCAATGGAGCGACTGGGCGTTTACATTCAAGAACTTCTTAGCATTCATGGATCAAGAATTCCTGAGTGATTTGAAGAAAGCAGAAGAAGAGAAAACAGAGATAAGCACAGAGGTGACAAACTCATTCTTCAATCGTGAGATAGCAAGAGTGAACAGAGGAACAAAGCTTTACTCAGTGTTAAGCAGTTACCTGAAGAACAGACCTCTGAAAGTGCTGAGAAGTGTAAGCGGGATGAATGGATTTGAAGTGTGGAGAAAGTTGACGGCTGAGTTAGAGCCGACGTCCCGTTCAAGGAGTCTAGCAATGGCTCAAGCGTTGGTTGGATTCCCGGCCATGAGCAAAGGAGCATCGCTGATGGATTACGTCTTGACGTATGAAAAGCTCACATCAGAGTACGAGAAGATTTCAGGATTAAAGTACGACGACAACTTGAAGATCGGTACTCTGCTGAAAGGGATTCCACAACACCTCAAGCAGCACGTGATGGTTGATATCACTGATAAGACCACATATGAAGAGTTGAGAACAAAGCTGCTACAATATGAAAGAAGCAATCAGACATGGTCAGCTGAAAACATCTTAGGATCGCTGAGTGTTCCAGACCCAACGTCACACTCAAGCAACAAGGCTTACCAAGGACCAATTCCGATGGAACTTGACAGATTGCATTTGAGAAAAGGTAAAGGAGATGGAAAAGGTAAAGGTGATAAAGGAAAAGTAAGGTGATAAAGGAAAAGTAAGTCCTTACGGCAAAGGTAAAGGAGACAAAGGAAAGGGAAAAGGATATGGAAAAGGAAAAGGTGGCAGAGGAAAACCAAAAGGAAAAGGAAGAGGTTATGGCAAAGGAAAAGGAGGAAAGAAAGGATTTGGAAAGAGTATCAGGCAGGCTGAAGGAAAAGGCTACGAGAATGCGAAAGGCAAAGGTGGACAGAATGGACCTGTATGTTTCAATTGCGGTAAGACCGGACATTACTCTTCGGAGTGTTGGTCGGCACCAAAAGGCAAAGGAAAAGGTGGAAAAGGAAAGGTTCGGAATGTCCAAGAGACAGGAGAGGAAGAATGGTATGAAGAGCAACCAACTTCTTCTACACAGTCACAAGCAAGAGCACCACAAGGAGCAAAAGGAAATGAGCAAGTGCATAGGTTGGTGATAACACCTATGCCAGTGATTGAAGAGATCCTCGAAGAGGATGAAGACTACATTGATCTTGTAGGAATGTTTGAAGAGATGGTGATGGATTACGCTGCGCGAGCAGTAAGAGTCCACACAGTGGTGTTATGGTCAAGCATGACTGATGAAAGTGATGAAGAGGATTATGAAAGAGATGAACTTCACAAGTGGTATGAAGATTTGCATGTAGACAAGGAGAATGCTAGGCATGCAAGAGAGCGAGAAAGACTTTTCGGAAGTGGTGAAGAGTCAGAGACAGAAGTTCGATTAGATCAA